TAAGACGCACTTTTTTCCCCCCAAAAGGAGGGGGAAAATGTGCCTGCGTCTTATGGAGCGAATCCCGACGCCCGAGACATGCAGTTTCGGGCGCCGGGCGAGTAGTAGGAGCCACTGCTCGTTTAATACGAGTGATCTAATGAGATCACTCGTATTAAAACCGAGCAGTGGCGACGAACGAGATGTCACGCCTGTTACAGACTGGGGGTATGTGGATCGCAGCTGTGGAGGCTTCTCAGGTATGGAACCCTGGTTTCACTCTCAACTTAACGAAGAATTAGGGTTCTTAGCATCACAGCCTCAAATTAAATAATAAAATGGATTGGCGAGGGTTATTCCTTAAGTAAGCTAATCAACAAGCTGCGGAGTACATTTAGTGAGTAATGAATTAGCAGGGCATAGAAGACAAGACACTGTTATTTGGCATTGGTACAGTTCCCCAGTAGTAGTTAAGCTTGGCAATTTGTATTTCAGGAATATACAGTCCTGATGGCAGAGTGTGCAACTGCACTGAGATACTTGCGATTAGGTGATTGCCAATGGAGGTAGCTGGGGGTCCTTTGTGGTGTCCGGTTCTGGTGAGACTGGCTGGAGGGCACAATCTGGTGGTTATGGAGGGTCCCAGGAGACAGCAGCCGTTCTGGCTCAATATTGGAACGCCATGCTGTCTCGTCTGGGCGTTTAAATGAGCCTATGATGAGGAGGAGGAGCCGAGGCACGCATTTGCGCACTACCGCGTTCCATGGTGGAACGCACGCGGTCCCGAAACCCGGAAGTGAGGAGCGTGCGCTCCACCATGGAACGCAATCGGCCCAGCGAAGGAGCGGCTGGCTGCCGCATCCTCCGTCTTTGCTAGCTGCTGACGGCGGCTGCCGTTACACGAGATCACCATAGAGCAGACGAAGAACGGACTTTCTTCGTCTGCTCTGTGTGATCACTGAGACCCGGGCGCTGTAATCACAGCGCCACCTGTCTCAACGGTCACTAACTGCAGCTTCTGTCATAGAAGCTGTGACAGAAGCTACGGTCTGTCGAGTGCTCCATAAGGCGCGCCGGACCTCCCTGCGCCCTATGGTCCGGTGCGTCTTATGGACCGCAAAATACGGTAAGTCCTGTATAATAATAATAATTCAAAGCTTATCCTCATTGTGCGTCAACTAAGAAAAAGATTCAAAGCCCCATATTTTTTTAATTTTTTCTTAGTTGGTGTATATTGTATATATAGGGGTGAGGTGTCCTTGTACATGTGGTGATTCAAAATATTTTGTATAAAGCTTATCCTCAGTCAAAGCACACTTGTTTTGGTTGCAGTGGTAATAGTTGCAAGCTGTGTAGTTTTTTGTGTCTCTGCTGGGGAGATTTCCCCTTCACTTACTCCGTGATCACAAGGGCAGTAAGTGAGAACAATCTCTGCTCTGGAGGCAAAGACAGCAATAAAAGTATGTTTAGTAGAGTAGGGGAGGGTTAGAACCTTTGTCAGGTTGCAATTGCTGCCTATAAATGGAAGACATCAATAAAACCTTGAAAATGTTGTAACCCGTCTCCACTCTACCTAAAAAAAACAACAACAAAAAACAACAGCATTGTTTTTGATTGGCCAGCTCATCATACATAATATAATGGCTGGTAGAATGTTCTTGTCTGGGTGTGTGGCAGATGATGGAGATTATTTAACTCTGCAGTGTACAAACCCTACTACATATACACATAGTATGATGGATGTCCTCCTTATATCTTGGGTTACCAAGAATCAGAAGAATAGACTGGACAGGGCCGAAGAAGAACTGAGCAACTTGAAATACATATCTATAGTGTGTTATTAAATCTTTTAAGCAATAAGCAATAACCGATATCAAATAAGAGAAAAAATACAAGGCCAAAAGCTGGACCATTGTTTTCACCACTCTTTGTACTTTCACGTTGGTTCTGCCAGAGGGGGTGACGTTCTTGCCCGTCCTACAAATATGAACGATGAGGGAAAGGGCATTACGAGCTGTGATGACCACTGAGATCAGCAATGACACAAACATACTGACATATAAAATTGTCCTTCCGGGGTGGGAGTTATCTCCTAATGTGTTGAATAAAAAGGAGACTGAGATGTTGGATGATTCTTGGGGCGGAACATGAGTCATTTCACTGAAGAAGCTACTACCGAGACAGAGAGCTTCAATGACCAGGATCATCCACGGAATTAGGACATCGATCTTCTTCTTCAGCAGGGACAGGAAGGAAGACTTCAACTGGGTGATCTTAATGAAATAAAAGAAGCACAGGCAAGTAGTCAACCAGGAGCAAGATGTCCTGCCATAAAATACCAAGGCGTTTATGGTGCACACCGTATACACGTCGGGGTTAAAGGGAAAATATGATGCGGAAGCAGAAGTAAATGTCATTATTAACAGGCAGATGTTGGAGCAGCTTAGAGACAATATTATTTTATCTCCTGTACTCATTCTTTGTCCTTTAAAGATGTCTTTTAAGATTGTGCCTACAATGAAGAGACCAGAAAACATCCCAATACACATTTCAAAGATGATTACAGAGAAAGAAATCACAGCACCGGGATCCATGGCGAGGAGATGACCTTTCTTTAGATGTTCTTCAAACCAAAGAGATCTTATTATTGATGTTCCCCGGTGCAGCTCTGTTCAGTATAGATATCTATTCTCTGCTGACCATCGGAAGGACTGACTATCCCTCTGCAATACCTGAAGAATGCGAAATCGAGATGGCAGATGTCCTAAAAATACCGGACTTTCCATATATTCAAACTCTAGAAGAGTATGTGTATACACAGGTTTCCTCATGCAAATAATACATAGAGTGGATATTAGAGTAGATATTCCAAACCTCCCATCAGATGTCACTCTATCCCATTTAAAAACGAATGGGCCCACATATAATATATACCGTTAACCCCTGATGAATGGACAGCATGGTTAACTCACGTTTATAATACTATTGGTTATTTCGTTAGCATGATACCGTAAAGGTAGCAAGGAAGGGTTTGGTATTTGTATCCCAGAACCAATAGTTATAACATCAGTCGCCCTCCATAACAGTGACTTCCACCTCAACTATTACTGATAAAACAGTTGAGGTCCAATTCAATATTCAGACCTCTAGGATACATTGTATCCAGCATATAGATCCATTTTGTCCCATTCTGTGAGATAATTCTAGTTCTATTAATACCCCTCCATTGGCTGAATACTCCGTCCGCTCCATAAAAGGTCAACAACGAAGGGTTTTTTATTGTGGACCTGTTTAAAATGTTTTGAAACGCTATGCTGATCAAATCCGTTTTTCATATTATTTATATGCTCCCCAATTCTAATACGTAATTCTCGAGTAGTCCTGCCTACGTATTGTAGGCCTCAAGGGCACTCCAATACATCGGTTACGTATGATGTATGACAGGAAACAAATTATTTGATTTCAAATTGTCTTCCATTTGTTTTTGAAAAGAAATGTGTTTTTCTTCCATTTCCCCCTTTTTTGGTTATTCTACCTCTACAGTTCTTACAAGGATAGAATCCCACCCCTCCAAAATAATTCTTAATCTTTGGTGGTGGGTCTACCACATTGTGTACCAGCCTATCTTTAAGGGAGGGTGCTTTTCTGTATATAACTTGTAGTATTCCTCACTTCCCTTTCATTATACCAACTTTCTTTAAACTTAGGGGGTTATTCACAAAGCTGCGGAAGGAAGCTGAGTGAATAACTGAGCCGAAGTGAAGTGAGCCGAATTACATTTGGCTATTCATTCCGGCTCAGAGCGGCTCATTTCAGCTGTACATCGGCTGTCTTCGGCTGCTCAGCA